GGGGGGGGGGGGGGGATTGTAGAGAAGTGTTGAATACTGAAGCTGCTGTGAATGCGGAGAAGCGGTGCCATGTGTTTACGCATGTCTGTCAGCCACCAGTGCTTAGGTTATGTGAGCTGGTTCGCTAATGGTCCGGGTGTTATGTCTCCTGTGCTGGATTACTCCCACACCCTTTTCTGCCCGAGGACTGATTGAGTTCATACACGCACATAAAGGCACGAAACACCCTAGCAAGTTAGTCACATGGCTCTTATATTTCAAGCAGTGAAGCCAACAGCATCGGCCACACGTCTCTCTGACCTGATGTGTCTTCAAATCTCCCATAGCCTCCGTCCTTTCAGATATGCATGCATGTGCATGTGTATTCATTTTGCTGCTTTCCTCCCATTGCCATGAATAATGAAGGAGTAACCAGGTCAATGTGACCATGCAAAATTCAACACAACGCAGCTAGTGTTACTGGTGAGGTAATCTGCGGCTCGCTGCGCGTCCTTCAGGTCAATGCAATATCAATACACATGAAGAGATAGGTTTGGTCTCTGAGCCTGACTGACACTGCGCAGCCTTCATGTAGGGATGAGGTCAGCCATGAGGTAGGAGGTGGGAAGCAGCCAAAGAACTTAGTTCGATGCAGCTGCCACCATGCTGAAAAACTTCACCAGAAAGTTAGTCAATGATGACAAAGTTTGGGGCATGTGGGCAAAGAGCTGAAGAAGATTTTGGATTGTTTTGGGTAGTTATTAGTTGTTCATGGATTTGCTGTGACAGAAATGGATTGACAATGATTCTGATCATTTCTGGTTCTAGTTTATAAAATGTGAGGATTGGTGGCTTTTTTCTTACAATATATTATATATTTGGGTTTAAGACTGCTGGTTGGACTAAACAAACAATTTCAAGACATCAGTTTGGGGCCTGGGAACAGATGTTGAGCATATTGTATTATTTTTTCACATTTTACACATTGAGATAATTAATAAGTCAAAAAAATGCTTAGGTGGAGCCCTAAACTTGGGTTGTGCAACACTATTTATTTACAAGTTTGGTTGTTGTAGGTAAATCCTTTCCAAACAACAAGTCAACTATTATAACAGTCGACAAGTAATCATAATCATTATCTTGTGCTTTAAAACAGGTACACACTGTACACCTCTAATCCCCTACAACAGCTATGACATGACAGCGGATTAAACAGTTGTGCAAACTGGACACGAGAATATGGGTATCGTGTAAGTACTGCTCATGTAACATAAGATTATAGCGATTTAGAGTGTCATATGGGTAGATATATGACCTGGTACATGGCTCTATAAAACATAAAGATACATTTTTATAAGCACAGGCTGCACCTCCATGAAATGAAAGTGGATCCGAATGACTCATAGAGCGAGTGCACTTGTGTGTGAAAGTCAGCTGTGCGTCAAAACCGGAGAGGGATGAGGTACAGAAATAAAGGAAAGGGCTGGTTGGCAAGGTAGCTGACCGTGAGGTGAAAGGAATGGCAACCTTCCCATCGGTTAATGCTTAACACACAAACGCGTACACAATGACGCGCGTGTGCACAGAAGGAAGCAAAACTGTCACATACGGCCAATTTCAATTTACACTTCTCTCTTTTAACCGCTTCACCTTTGCTGAGTAAGCCTTTTTGCTTGACACGGTGCAGACGAAGCAGATAAGGCATGTATGAGGGCAGAAATGAAAGGTTCAACTGCAGCCAACAGTACATGACATTGAGAGCGATGTTTTGGTTTGAACACAATGGTATACAGAGCAATTGTGGATTTCAACACTCTTGCAATGTGTTGTTTTTAGAAAGCTTTTAAATAACTATGCTGGTGACAGTGTAGATCATGTACTAAGTATAGACAAAACCCTGCAAGCCCCTCATGTTAAGTGAGGAGAGTAACCTTAAATTACAAAAAATCCCACTAAGATGATCCCTTTTAGAGGGAAGTTAGCATTTGTTAGGCATTGAGCACTGTGAGGTTTTAAAGTAATACGTGACAAACAGCAGACAAGCAGAGCCCAAATCCCCACAAATTGCAGGTGCACTGGTTAAAACAAAAGCAAAAGTATACAGTAATGTTTACAATAAGCATAAAAAAAGAGGAACAGGCAGAAGTGAAAATAAGTGAAAGCTAACTGACAGGGATATGACAGACAAATGCAAGTGGGCTGACAGCTTAATATGAAATTTATTTAAAAAAAACATTGATTTATGATATTTATTAGGTTTGAAGTTGTCTTGATGTTGAATTCCTCTGAGTAAAATCATCTGCTGCAAATAAATAAATACTGTTACACTCTAAGCATATTGTAATGTGTGCCGTCACCTGGTCTTGCAGTGGGTAATCACATCTTTGAGAGCTACGACGCTAACGCTGAAAGGAAAAGACCTGCCTGAGAGACGGAAAAACACTCAAGCCAGTTCAATGTGTAGTGTGAAGTGTGTTTTTCATACAAGGCTAGGAAAGGCACCAACAGCCACAACACTGCCTTTTCTCATAATAAAGCACACTATATAACCATAACCCGAGGAAGAAGACGATAACTATATAGCCTTTATGTTCAGCCAAGACTTGTGGGTGACATAAGATACTAACACAAGACAAAGCTGTCTCCCCTTCACCCTGAGGGGAAGAGAAGGTTTGTAGCTGCATGTGTTTTCTGCTGCTTGGTGACATTGCAGGAGTCTTGGCCTTGAGGGCGAGAATGTGATCGCAGTTTGACTGGCTCTGTTATAAATAAGAGGTCATGGAAGAGATTGATGGCGTATCAGGATCCTCAAAAACAGTGGAAGAGGAAAAAAGGTGAAAAAGACTCCAGCCAGTTGAGATGTTCCAGCCTGGTTTTATCATCATCCCACTTGATCTTCACTTTACTCTCTCTTTCCTCTTTTACCTGATATTTACAAAAACACAACAAGACACAGATAACTCCCTTGAAATAACACAGCTGCAGCCTCTTATGGAAAACAGCCCCAACTGAACTAGGCAAACCACCATGTTATGTGCATGTTATGGCAACAGAAATGACAGATGCTAAGCTGGGGCCTTTACATCCTCCGCTGAGTTTGTGGCCGTACAGCAGACGTTATCTTGTCAATGTACAAAAGCTGCATAATGTTGAGTCATGAACAGCAAACAGCTGCGGTATGGTTTTCACACTTCACACGGATTAACGGTTCTTTCCAATCGAGCAGGACACAAAGGGGATTCCCTGGTTGCAGCATGAAGAGCCACTTGATCTTTTTCCATCCTTTAGCTCTCTGAAATCCTCCTGTGTTTGTGAGTGAGTGAGTGTGTGTGTGGTGTGGGTGGTGTGTTGTGTGTGTGTTGTGTGTGTGTGTTGTGTGTTGTGTGTGTGTGTGTTGTGTGTGTAGAGAGAGAGAGAGAGAGAGAGAGACACAGAATGACGGAATAGACTGAAAGAACGGATTATGAGAACCACAATTCCTGAGAGGAAGAAAGAAAAAGGAGAGAGGAGAGAGAAGAAGAGGAGAACAAAAACAGAGAGAGAGAGAGAGAGAGAGAGAATCCTGAACTGTCAAAACCACCCACTGGAAACTTTCTGTCCTTCCCAACCACAAACATATCTGAGGCGAAACGAACAGGACGTAACCCATGAACCTTCACTTTCTGTCTGTGAGACACTAAAAAGGACTATGCTGGTGTTAACAAATCTTATACATAATAGATCACAATTTCAAATGCCTTCTGCATAACATTTTCTGAAGTCATTAGGGTTAGCCTTTCAAGCAGCCATTAATTTCCATTTCCATTTTCAACTTCTCTGCTCACTTACTTTTATATTTTTTATGCTTTCTCATTTGCAACACGTGGTGTTAATGTGTTACAATTGGCTCAGAGTGATGGGCAGCTTACTGGTTTACTGTAAATGTTCCAAAGATCAGCATTGCAACATTTGTCCTTAACGAAAGTATTTGGACAACACCCAGAATCAGATCTAGGTATGGTCTGTTGTTTTTGTGACCACCAATAGCTGGCAACACAAATAAGAATTAATAATTTTCCTGGGTGCAGCTATTTTCTGATGATCACTGTAATGGATAACTGGATAGATTTTAAGAGTCTGTTGATCTCT